GAGGCTAAAGCCAGAGCGGATCAGTGGGGCGTGTGCTACGTGGAGACGTCGGCTAAAACCCGCGCCAACGTAGACAAGGTGAGAACTACAAAACCAGATCTGTAAACCTGAATTGATAGTTTACTAGTGTACAGGGAGGCAGTTACTGTGTGAATGCTATTGAAACTAGATCCTGCACGCTCACAAGTGATATTACTGATGCATTCTGAACCTACTTTTCAGGTAGTTTATTATTAAAGAAACACTTCACCCAAAAATGAAAGTTAGCTGAAAATCTACTCATCCTCAGGTCATCTAAGATCAGGATGAGTTTGTTTCTTCATCAGGTTTGGAGAAATGTAGCACTGCATCAGTGTCTCAACAATGGATGCTCTGCAGTGAATGGGTGCCGTCAGAATGAGAGTCCAAACAGCTGATAAAAACATCACAATAATCCACAGCACTCCAGTCCATCAGTTAACATCTGGAGAAGACAAAAGCTGAAACACATCCAGCATTAAGACGTTTTTAACTAAAATACATCGAGTTCATAATCCATAATAAGGCTTCCTCCAGTGAAAAAGTGTTCTGGTGTGAATCAGGAGAGAAATCTGCACAGATCAAGCAGCGTTTAAACGGCTCTAAACACATATGTGTCTGGATTTTGATGTGAGAGACAACAGCAGATGCACTTTTTCACTGGAGGAAGCGTTATTATGGATTATGGACTCGTATTTTAGTTAAAAACGTCTTAATGCTGGATGTGTTTCAGCTTTTGTCTTCTCCAGATGTGAACTGATGGACTGGAGTGCTGTGGATTATTGTGATGTTTTTATCAGCTGTTTGGACTCTCATTCTGACGGTACCCATTCACTGCAGAGCATCCATTGCTGAGACACTGATGCAGTGCTGCATTTCTACAAATCTGATGAAGAAACAAACTCATCCTGATCTGGGATGACCTGAGGATGAGTAGATTTTCAGCTAACTTTCATTTTTGGGTGAACTATTCCTTTAAGTGTAATCAACATGAAACCCATATTGTGCAGGATTCATCAGTGCACAGTATTTTAAGCTAAAAAGTGGACTGTAATGTTTAATCAAAGTCTAAACTTGTTCCTCATATAAAACAACCTTTCATGTTGGCTAGCGTCACAAATCCATCTTACTCTCGTTAAATATTCTTTCACTGAGATGTAAAGAGTGTTTCATATTGACTTCAAATTCTTTTTTTTAACTGAATGCAAGCAATTTGGAATTGAATTAAAGTGATACATTTTCCAAGATGGTATACCGTGTTGCTTGCAGGTGTTCTTTGACCTCATGAGGGAAATTCGCGCTCGGAAGATGGAGGAGAGCAAGGAAAAGAACGGAAAGAAGAAGAGAAAAAGTCTGGCCAAACGAATCCGCGAAAGATGCTGCATTTTATAGTGTCTGCGATCATTTACTCTCCTCCTCCTGCATATGTACCTGTATGTTCTATATGTTTGCCAGCTGCTCCTCACCTCGATGTTTGCGTGTCAGATTAGATGAAGGACAGTCTGATAGAGTTGATGCAGTAGAGTCACATCAGTAATGTTGTCCGAACGCACAGGACGCTGCAGGACTTGCGTATGAAAACTTCCTGTGCAAGACATATGAGAGCTTTTTGATTTTATTTTGTGTCAGGTTTGTTTAATGAATTCTGTTCTCTTTTATTTTTTTAATGGCCACGTGTCTACCTGGATTTAACATCAGTCTCAGGTGATCTGATCTCAAATAGACAACACTAAATACAGCTGTTTTGTCAGATTTTTTTGTTTTTGTCTCTTCTGCTCACCGAGGCTGCATTTATTTGATCAAAAATACAGTATAAACAGTGAAATATTATTCTAATGTAAAACAGCTGTGTTCTATGTGATTATATGTTAAACTGTAATGTATTTCTGTGATGCGCAGCTGTATTTTCAGCATCATTCCTCCAGTCTTCAGTGTCACATGATCTTCAGAAATCAGTATAATATGCTGATCTGCTGCTCGAGAAACATTTCTGATTATTATCAATGTTGAACACAGTCGTGCTGCACAATATTTTAGTGGAAACCGTGATGGATTTTATTTTTCAGGATTCACAGATGAACAGAAAATTGAAAAGAACAGCATTTATTTGAAACTGAAATCTTTTGTAACGCTATAAATGTCTTCACTGTCACTTTTGATCAGGTTAATGCATCCTTGATGAACAAAATTATTAGTTTCTTTAAAAAAAAAAAACTTACTGTATCTTACTAAATCAAGGGTTTTAATGTATGTTTGGATCACCTGAAAAGGATGTTAATGCCGGTGTAAAAAAGCAGGGTCAGAGCGTGAGTGTTATTACTTTAATGTTAGATGACTCCACTTACTTAAATTACATAACTCTTCATTGACTTGAGGGGAACTACAAAAAAATGACAAGCTTTATTGTTAAAAAAAAAAAACATGGTGTCAATTTATTTGTTGGTCTGTGGCTAAGCAATTAGTAATTGTTATGCATAAAAAGTGCAGTACACTAACAAGCGATGAGATCTGTGTTACACCAGTAACCAGTTACAGGTTTGTCTTTTAATCACTTAATATTCCAAGCAACGTGTCAGAAGCAATGAGTGAAGGGGAGGTTGCTCTGGCTGCAGCGGTTTAGTGTGCTTGACTTCCTGATGCCTTGATGTCCTTTGTGAATGTGACACACCCGTGCGCACTGGCACTGAGCTGCACACTCTTTAGTGTCTGGCTGTTTCAGAATCAGGCTGCTAGAAGAGCAGGACACAGGTGTCCTCGATGCATCCTTGCTATTGGATGAAGACACAGCCGTTTGATGGCGCAGCGAGTATGATGACAATCTTATGCTTCTCATATGTGATGTGAAAATCCAAAACCTATCGATTTGGACGGCTTGTGCGCTGCTGCCCCACAGTTCCAGTCTTAACCAGAGAAATGCATTGTGATTTTAATGTGTATCTATCCAGTGACTGTTTTTTTCATTCTGCTTTTTTATATATGTATTGTTAATGTGAAAGCTTATTTCAGCCATTTCAAAGAAATAAATTTTTCTAATTTAAATGTGCTTTATTATTCACAAGAATGTTATTTATATTCAGTACTAACTTTTGTTCCCATTATACCTCTGTATTGTAGGGAAGCACATTTCTGCCATACACACACACACACACACACACACACATATAGACATATTTCCGATATAATAATAATAAAAAAAAATTACATCTCACAATTCTGACTTTTTTCTCGCAATTCTCTGTTTTTCTCAGATTTGTGAGATGTAGGCTTTTTTTTTTTTATTCCAAGGTGTAGAAAAAAAAAATAATACAAGATGTAAATTTAGAAATTGTGATGGGAAAAAAGTCAGAATTCCAAATTTATCTCAAATCTGATTTTATTTCTTGCAATTCCAAGTTTATATCTTGAAAATATGAAAAGAAAAATCAAATGACCATTATTATTACTATTTATTATTATTTATCACGTGGCAGAAACAAGCTTCTGTAGCATTGCATTCTAGAAAGTAAATGATTATATGCCAGATACCTAATTCATCATAAGCAGCCGTTCTTGTGAAATTGAAATCAAGGCATGTTTTAGCAATTACTTTCAAAGCTCTTAGTAACTAAAAAAAAAACCCAGAAAAGTCCATCACTTAAATTATAATTGCAACATTTCCAAAAAATGATGGTAGTTTCATGGGATAATGATCAGTTCTCTCATTTGTCATAGCACACTGATGTTCACATCTACAGCGTGAAGTGTGTGTGTGTGAGTGAGAGAGTGTGTGTGTGAATGAGAGAGTGTGTGTGTGAATGAGAGAGTGTGTGTGTGTGTGTGCAGCAAGCCGAGAACTTGCGTGCACTTTAAAGGGAAGGTTGTTCTGTTAAAAATACACAATGAGAAGTATACAGAATATATAGCTCATTTTCAGTTGTCTGTTTTTCAAGGTTTGGTATATATTTGAACCTAAACTGTAAAGTATAACTGCATTTAAGTTCACTTTTTTTCTTTAAATCCTGGCAAAAGGGGCATTTCCAACTGCAAAGGTAATAATAAAAAGGAAAACATTATTTGTGCTTTGTTAACAGTTTGTGGGCCAGTTTGCTTTGGTGTTATTGTCAGTCACAGGCCTTATTAAAACACAAAATGATCATCACAGAATAATTGGCTGTGAGAAAGAAATCGTCAAAATTAAATGATTTGAATAAATAATAAATTACAACATTATTTGTGCTCTTGTAATAATTTGTGGTCCCGCAGAACTGAGGTCAGGTGATTTTGAACCCTTATGAAATATGAAATGGTAACCTAGAAATATCATAGTTAATAGAGTTAGTTTTATCTCTGTAAATATGCAGTAATTAGCCATTCGTCATTACTGTCAAAATACAATGTAATTTCTCTAAATTAAAGAATTTAAATCAATTCTAAATGTAAAAAAATAAATAATGAAATGTCTTTAAAGTTTTAATTTTAGATTTGTTTTCCCTATATTAATTATTAACCTGTGTGTGATGTTTAGTTAATTATTAACTATTATTAATGCTCATTAAAATCATATCCTGTAGTTGTGCATTGACTTGTTTACTGATCTTGATCTGCAAAACTTTTTTTTCTTTTTAATGAAAAAATCCCTTTATTGCATAGTGAGCCTTTCCCCTAATCAGCAAATGTTGAGTAACTGTCCAGGTTTTACTTCAATTACAACATACATGCACGCTTTTCTGCAGCAGCAGATCAGCCAAAGGTCAGTCTGCAGATAAGACCTGAAGAAAAGCACTCGTTTTCCTAGAGTTTGATCCTATTGATGAAAAATAACAAACATGCAATGACCGAGATCAACCACGGCCACTGCGCCCTCATTTCTCAGCTGCTACAGTCTCACATGTGCAGAAGCAGACGCATGGTGGCGCCCTCTGCTGCCTGCGCATGTGCTTGCAAGGTTTAGGAGTTAATAAGTGCCCCTGCTAGAGCAGATCCTCTGACTGCAGGCCTCAGAGAGCAAAGGCCTATTGGCGGCAGGAGTGCGCATGATTCGCCACTTTTGTTTTTTGTACTTTGAAAGATTTCAGCTTTAATGTAGCCCCATACCCATCTTAGTATTTAAATGGAGATTTTATTTATATACAAAATGACACCCAAGTCCAACTCTGTGGACTAAACGGAATGTATGATTTTCTGTAGAGTGTGGAATCTGCCGAGCTGAACTCCGCGCTGACCAACACGCGCGCTACTTCCTTGTTAGTGAGTCGGTGTGAGGCGACGAGAAGTTTGAGCCCCGCGTCAGTATGTGTGGATTTAGCGAACGTCTTCGGTGAAATCTTCCCTTTGGAAAGCTCACCTCGCCGTTTTTACCGCCGCACCGGGGCCACAGCGCTATCCGAGCCATGGAGGCTGATTTAAAGGCGGCTGTGAGGCGGATCTGCTAAGTTAGCACAGGCTTGCTAACACCGTCTCTTCATCATACGCGCGGAACTGGATTACAACTCGAGGCGTTTATTGACTTCTCCGAGGCGCTTTAAGGATTTGTCCGACCGATGTGCGTTGTGACGGTCGGATGCGGTGTGATCCGGTGGGGAACGGCCGCTGTGTGAACACTCGGACGCTAACGCTTAGCCGTGCTACACTAGCGCTTACAGTGGGCTTCAAATGTTTTGCTTTGTTTGCCGGGGACTGAAGCGCGAGCGATAAAAGTGGGATCTTAAATGCCGAACACGGAGATCGTTCCCCGCGAGGGCCGGGGGAGAAGCCCGCCGCAGAGGAGTCCGAGGGAGGCGAGACGGAGCAAGAGCCGCCGCGAGCGGCACCGGGACAAGCGCCGGTCCTCGTCCTCCTCCTCCCGGAGAAAGAAGCAGAAGCACGGCCGGGAGAAGCAGCAGCAGTCGTGGCAGCAGCAGGAGGTGCTTTACGGGGATGTTCGGACTTTAGTGGAGTACGACGACGTGAGCTCGCAGTCCGAGCGCTTCTCCGGTAGCCCGTCGCCCAGAACCGACACGCCGTCCGTGGACCGGCTGAGCGAAGCCGAGCTCCAGGACGCTTCCACGCCGGGCAGGAGGGAGCACACCTCGGCCTCGCGGAGGAAGGACGGAACCGGCGGCTCGGCGGAGAAGGAGGCGAAGAGGAACCGGTCCAGCGGCGTGAGGAATCACGACAGCAACGGCAGGAAGCCTTCGTCCGCGACCCAAGCCGACAAAAAGGAGTCGAAGCGACACAAAAGCAAGTCCAAATCCGAGAAGGACCCTCCTTCTGCCTACAGGGACCCGCCGCAGGCCTACAGGGACGACCGGGAGGAGCTCAGGCCCTACTGGAGGAGCAGCCCGAGCTTCCGAGCAGCGGAGAGTCCCTACGGGGCGGCGTATTCCTACGGACACCAGTCTCCGAACACAAACTTCCCGTTTATTTCCAGGAGGAGCCCCAAGAGGCTCTCGCCGAGCTCGGGCTACTACGGTCGCGATGCAGAGGTGCACGGAGCCTATAACGTGTCGAAGTCGCCGGGTGGTAAGAGGAAGCGCTCCCCGAGCAGCCCGTGCTGGCGCCGGTCCCCGAGCTACGGCCGACACAGCCCCTACGAGCAGGGCGAGGTCCCCTGCAGGCGCTCCCGGAGCCCCAGTCCGGACGGCAGGTAAGACGCGCGTGTGGTCTTGTGTACCGAGAGAGGCTAATTGTAGGTTACGCGTGGGTTAGCGGCTATACTGGAGTTGGAAATGGTGTATAATTGGATAATATTGGGGGGAGTACAACATGTGACTCGATTAGTGTTGAGTCGGTTCACACAACCGCTGTGAACGAATCAATCCGAGCGGTTCTCCGTTGGCGAATCGAGCCGAGAATCGACGAGTTGAAGTGAACCGAGTATTTGACCGAATGGCGAATTTGAACAGAGAACCGACTCTTTTGATTCATTCGTTGATTCTCGGCTTAATCAAAAGAGTCGGTTCGCTGTTCAAACTCTTCATTTATCGGTCAAACACTCGATTCTCGGCTTGTTTCGATCATGAAAGAGTCGGCTCTGTGTTCAAATTTGTCACATCAGTCAAATAACCGGTTCACTTTAATTCATCGATTCTCGGCTCGTTTCAATAAAGTGAACCGATTATTTGTCTGAGACAGATTTGAACAGAGAGCCGACTCTTTCAGTTATCAAAATGAACCGAGAATCGACGAGTTGAAGTGAACCGAGTGTTTGACCGATAGGGTTAAAAGTTATTTACTTTAACATTAGCATACATTTGACATTTAAAGCATACGTGATGTTTATTGGACTGTATGAGTGATTGAAAAAAACAAACTGATTTGTTTTTAACAAATAGCTTATCATTTTATACAATGCACAGACTCGTTCAGCTAATCGATGTAAATGAATCTTACTACTGCTTATTGTAATGCACATTTTATTTATTGTCTGTGACTTCTATTTTATTCGAGTTGTGTTTTTCTTTTCTTTCTTTTTAGGGTTTATATCACAAATCCATTCCATGGTAACCTTAATTTCTGCCACTACTTTAATCAAAACATTTATTTAAAATAAATAAAGCTACTTACACTGTTAAACAAAGATAATAGTAGGTTAACAAACTGTAATACAAATGGTTACCATGCTGTATTAATTGGCTGAAACTATGAAAAGGATGTTATTGTGCTTTTATAACAGCTTGTGATTGTTGCTTTTCTCTGTCGGATGCAAATGCATTTCCAGAAGTGTATAAAACTGTATATATTGTGTTTTTTTTGTTGTTTTTTTTCATTGTTTTTTATAACTCAGGCCTGCAAAAGTCTCACATTCCGTACAGAATGCCACAATTCGTTCCTATCACAATTCACACTCTCGTTTTAACGTAAATAAATCTGATTTAATATGACCGAGCTTCACAATCAGTAGAAATGTCAGATTGTGCTGTTATTTTCTGACTGCTGTAGACGTCACTGGCATTTTTGAAGACCGTACAACCTTTATTTGTTTACTATTTTAGTTATAATCCGCACACAAGTGTAGAAGACCTTTCCATTTGATTCGTTTGACCTTAAAATAGTCGTATGCGAGTTTCATAAAGGGCTTGTCAGTTGTTTAACGACTCTCAGATCGCTTAAATGCAGTTTGCATTGTAACAAGGTAAAAGCCTTGGTAAGTGGTTTAATAAGTAACCACTGATGATCTTACACTACTAGGGCTGCGCAATTAATCGATTACAATTACGGATGTTACAATTGCGTAATACTTCAAAGCGGCAAGTGATCGTTCAAAGTCCACTTATGTTGTTCTGTGTGCTTAAGATGTGGTTTTTCTGTCTACAGGTTATCTTAAAGCTTTTCCCATTGTTTCAATTTCAGTTAAATTATATCATATGTTCACTGTTTTATTTAAAGAAGAAACCAATCCACTGTATATTTGACATTTGAGGCTTAATACTATAGAAAAGTGTTTTCAGCTTGTGCAGTTGCATCAAACAAAGTATAAACATCATTCAAAGTAAATTGAAATAATCGTTATTAATAAGCGCAATTACAATTTCGAGGGAATAATCGACAGTTATGATTTTTGTCATAATCGTGTAGCCCTATATACACTACCGTTCAGAAGTTCGGGGTCAGTCTTATTGCTTTAGTGTTTCTGAGAGAAGTGTCTTCTGCTCACCGAGGCTGCATTTATTTGATCAAATATGCAGTAAAAATTATGAAATATTATTACAATTTCAAATAATCAGTTTGTGTGTGAATATCTGTTAAACTGTAATGTATTTCTGTGATGTGCAGCTGTATTTTCAGCATCATTCCTCCAGTCTTCAGTGTCACATGATCTTCAGAAATCAGTATAATATGCTGATCTGCTGCTTGAGAAACATTTCTGATTATTATCAATGTTGAAACAATCGTGCTGCACAATATTTTCATAGAAACTGAAATTCTTTGATGAATATAAAGTTGAAAAAACACCATTTATTTGAAATTTAAATTAAAGCTTTATACATTTCTTTTGTCACTTTTAATCAATTTAATGCATCCTTGCTTAATAAAATCTGACTGACTTCAGACTTTTAAATAGTAGTGTATGACTTTCTGCTGGAAGACACAAAATGCTCTTTTCTGCACAGTGAACATACAGTAACCACAGGCTTTCAAGCTCCAAATATAGTACAATTAGATTCATAAAATTAGTCAGTAAGACTCGTTGACCATATTGTCAGATTCTGGAGCCATATGATAGATGTGTGTGGGGAGCAGACCGAAGTGTGAAGGGTTTTCACAATGACATCCAGATATCAGTCATTCTCAAAGAGATTTCTCTTTTCATAGAAGCTGAAATTCTTTGATGAATATAAAGTTGAAAAAAAAACACCATTTATTTGAAATTTAAATTAAAGCTTTATACATTTCTTTTGTCACTTTTAATCAATTTAATGCATCCTTGCTTAATAAAATCTGACTGACTTCAGACTTTTAAATAGTAGTGTATGACTTTCTGCTGGAAGACACAAAATGCTCTTTTCTGCACAGTGAACATACAGTAACCACAGGCTTTCAAGCTCCAAATATAGTACAATTAGATTCATAAAATTAGTCAGTAAGACTCGTTGACCATATTGTCAGATTCTGGAGCCATATGATAGATGTGTGTGGGGAGCAGACCGAAGTGTGAAGGGTTTTCACAATGACATCCAGATATCAGTCATTCTCAAAGAGATTTCTCAATATCCGCCAACACAGCTCTATAGTAATGAGCAATGACAGAGCAGACACTGTGAGCTGTTGCTTGATGCACAGGGCTTGCAAAATTTACAGGCATTCTTCAGATTTTAGTAGCCCAAAATGAATTTGACTAGCCCGAATAAAAAAGATATCGGCTGAACTTCACTGTGGACAAAATCGAACGTGATCAGAAAGTTCAGTGATTGTATTTTTTCTTCAAATAAGTCAGGAGTGTAGGGTGCAACGGATCACAAATCTCACGGACTAGATCATATTACATGTTTTGAGTCACAGATCGGATCATTTATTGGATGAGCAAAAAAAAAAAAACTGTGTGTATGTGTATATATATATTAGGGCTGGACAATAATTCAATATCAATATGTATCACGATATTTTTTTCAATAACGGTGATATGATTTTTAAACACATTTCCGATATTTCGATATACATTACCAGTGTTTCCCATACACTGATGTATTTGTGGCGTTTGACTTCGTTGAATAAACATGAGCACTGCACGTTTCACAATCATAACGCGTCTCTGGTGTTTTATATGAATGTGTCTCTGAAGGGAACCGACTGTCTTCAGAATAGTTTAGATGGCATTTTTATCTGATAAAGTAGCGTTCATGAGCGGAGCTGCTTTGTTTACGTTCCGCCGCTCTCACAGCGCCTCCTGCTGGCAGACAAGCAGTTCGCATTTTCAATAATAAACCCATTTCCAGCAACATGCTTTTGTTGTTGCTCTATTTTTTTGTTTTCTGAAGCAACTCGGAGCATGTTTCATACTCGTTATCCTGGTTAATGCACGCTTCAATCTATAAGAATAATCAGCCTACACTACCAGTCAAAGGTTTTTGATTTTTTAAATTTATTATTAAATCGTGATGCTCAGTTTCTCCAGAATTGTGCGACTCTACGGTTAATGTTTTTCATTCACCAGATGCGAAAAAATCATATCAAAAGTTATTCCAATGATATCGCTCCCCTGTGTCTGCTCAAAAATGACTCCGTTCCTGACACAAAGCTATCGCATGACTTCAGAAGACTTGTAGTATAGTTTGCATGTTGTATAAACTGCTTTCTTGTGGCTTTTTATGGTGCTTTTGTCATTTTTGGAGCTTGATAGCCCCTGCTCTCTGCTATTTTCTTTTGTATGCAAAAGAGAAGGCAAGAAGGTCTAATGGAATTTCTCATTTCGTCTTCCATGAAAGAAAGAAGATCGTGCAGATTTACATTTAATTCATTCTGCTCTTGCTTTCAGGCGGACAGGAAAGTCCCGCAGCAGGAGCCCGTACCAGTCCTCACGTCATTCTCGCTCGCGCAGCCGTCACCGATTTTTTTTATTTATTATTAAATCGTGATGCTCAGTTTCTCCAGAATTGTGCGACTCTAAGGTTAATGTTTTTCATTCACCAGATGCGAAAAAATCATATCAAAAGTTATTCCAATGATATCGCTCCCCTGTGTCTGCTCAAAAATGACTCCGTTCCTGACACAAAGCTATCGCATGACTTCAGAAGACTTGTAGTATAGTTTGCATGTTGTATAAACTGCTTTCTTGTGGCTTTTTATGGTGCTTTTGTCATTTTTGGAGCTTGATAGCCCCTGCTCTCTGCTATTTTCTTTTGTATGCAAAAGAGAAGGCAAGAAGGTCTAATGGAATTTCTCATTTCGTCTTCCATGAAAGAAAGAAGATCGTGCAGATTTACATTTAATTCATTCTGCTCTTGCTTTCAGGCGGACAGGAAAGTCCCGCAGCAGGAGCCCGTACCAGTCCTCACGTCATTCTCGCTCGCGCAGCCGTCACCGGCACTCACGGTCCCGCAGCCGGCCCTCCAGTCTGTCCCCCAGCTCCCTGACCCTGAAGAGCAGCCTGGCCGCTGAGCTCAGCAAGCAGAAGAAAGCCAAGGCCGCCGAAGCCGCCCGCGTCAAAAACTCCAGCAACGCCTCCACCCCGACCAAGGGCTCCTCGTCCTCATCCAGCGCTCCCCAGCCCAGCCCCGTCACCAACCACACCACCAAGAAGACCAGGCCTCCGTCACCGCCGCCGGTGTCCGAGAAAGGCCCCAGAACCCCAGCGTCCAGTCAGCCGCAGTCTCCTGTGGATCGACCCACCAAGAAGAGCTAAATTACTGCTTTCTATTTGAATATATTTTAAAATGTAGTTTATTCATGTGATCAAAGCTGTATTTTCAGCATCATTAGGCCTCCTCCAGTCTTGTGTCACATGATCTTCAGCAATCATTTTAATATGCTGATTTGCTGATTATCAATATTTAAAACAGTTGAGTACATTTTTTCAGGATTCTTTGATGAATAGAAAGATCCAAAGATCAGCATTGATCTGAAATAAAAAGCTTTTGTAACATTACACACTATACCATTCAAAAGCTCTTTTTAAAATTTATATTATAGAAATTATTACCACCCCGACCAAGGGCTCCTCGTCCTCATCCAGCGCTCCCCAGCCCAGCCCCGTCACCAACCACACCACCAAGAAGACCAGGCCTCCGTCACCGCCGCCGGTGTCCGAGAAAGGCCCCAGAACCCCAGCGTCCAGTCAGCCGCAGTCTCCTGTGGATCGACCCACCAAGAAGAGCTCAGACGCCTCGCAGTCCAGCAGAGAAGTCAAGGTGAAGGAGGAGAAAAAGAAGGGAGGACAGCCAATGCAGGTCAAAGACAAGGACCGAGAGAAAGCAGCTGCTCCAGCCGTAGCCTCTCTTCCACTGGCAGCCAACAATCTGGATCATCTGGATGGAAGCGACAGGTTTGATTTATCATTGATCTTTGAAAACAGGAAAACTTGAGTATTTCACTCATTGCTTTCGAAGTTCACCAAGGTTTTTGCAGGTTCCCAATTTAAGAATTTTTAAAGACCTATTTAAGACAAAGTGAAGAAAATTCAAGGGCCAAATTGAATGGATCATAGTAGAGCCCAATTTTATTGGCCGATATGAGCCTGTCGCAGATAGAGTGGGTACGGAAAGTATTCAGACCCCCTTAAATTTTTCACTCTTTGTTATATTGCAGCCATTTGCTAAAATCATTTTGTATGCAAAAGAGAAGGCAAGAAGGTCTAATGGAATTTCTCATTTCGTCTTCCATGAAAGAAAGAAGATCGTGCAGATTTACATTTAATTCATTCTGCTCTTGCTTTCAGGCGGACAGGAAAGTCCCGCAGCAGGAGCCCGTACCAGTCCTCGCGTCATTCTCGCTCGCGCAGCCGTCACCGGCACTCACGGTCCCGCAGCCGGCCCTCCAGTCTGTCCCCCAGCTCCCTGACCCTGAAGAGCAGCCTGGCCGCCGAGCTCAGCAAGCAGAAGAAAGCCAAGGCCGCCGAAGCCGCCCGCGTCAAAAACTCCAGCAACGCCTCCACCCCGACCAAGGGCTCCTCGTCCTCATCCAGCGCTCCCCAGCCCAGCCCCGTCACCAACCACACCACCAAGAAGACCAGGCCTCCGTCACCGCCGCCGGTGTCCGAGAAAGGCCCCAGAACCCCAGCGTCCAGTCAGCCGCAGTCTCCTGTGGATCGACCCACCAAGAAGAGCTCAGACGCCTCGCAGTCCAGCAGAGAAGTCAAGGTGAAGGAGGAGAAAAAGAAGGGAGGACAGCCAATGCAGGTCAAAGACAAGGACCGAGAGAAAGCAGCTGCTCCAGCCGTAGCCTCTCTTCCACTGGCAGCCAACAATCTGGATCATCTGGATGGAAGCGACAGGTTTGATTTATCATTGATCTTTGAAAACAGGAAAACTTCAGTATTTCACTCATTGCTTTCGAAGTTCACCAAGGTTTTTGCAGGTTCCCAATTTAAGAATTTTTAAAGACCTATTTAAGACAAAGTGAAGAAAATTCAAGGGCCAAATTGAATGGATCATAGTAGAGCCCAATTTTATCGGCAGATATGAGCCTGTCGCAGATATATCGGTATCGGTGTATATGTCGCCAATATTAACTTTTGTTTTACAGAACATAAAATGCAGATAAAATTCTTGTAAATGGTGTAATTACATAGTTTGTCCAGCAGTGCGCTCCATTGTTTGCTACTGGCGATCTGGATGAAATGCTTTAAAGCTTAAATGTATGGAATACCATTGAAAATTTGAATGACCATATCTCCGTAACGACGCGGGGGAACCGCTCCAAATTCAGGGGATCCCTTCAGCTTGTACTATAATGTACACAAAGAATATCAGCCGATATATCGATATCGGCAGTTTTTTACTCCCTAATATCGGTATCGTCCCTCAAAAAGCCCATATCGGTCGAGCTCTAGATCATAGTATATTCTGTAATTGTGAATGTATAGAGAGCTGAAAATGAGTTGTATTAACAACAGTTTGAAAATACAACTTCCAACAGATCTCCATTACTTATTAAAACTTAACTAGAATATGAAAATAACTTCTATTGTACATTCTGAATAGACTGCAAAAAACGCTGTCCTTTCTCAGTATTTTTGTCTTGTTTGTCCAGTGTAAATGTCTAAAGACTCTTAAATCAGTATACATTGAGAAATAAAATCATGAGAAATTGATCAAAATGTTCATGACTTTATGAGTTTATGATTAAAAGAAGAGCAAATATTTGCCAGTGAGCTCAAAAAACTAACTTCATTCAAACGGAAAACATTTTCATTCCTCATTGGCAGATATTTGTTCTTGTTTTAAGCATAAACTCACTTCATTTTGTTCAATTTCTCAGAAAACAAGACTTCATGTGTTCATTTTGCATCTCAGGTAAATGCATTTTGATGTTTGTCCCACAAAACAATTGGAGGATATTATGTTACCTTTTTTTGCAGTGCATGCAACATGTAATGCCGTGACTTAAGACTTTCTGCTCTGATTTGTGGAAGGGCGGATTGAGACTTAAGACCTGCAGAAACCTTGGATCCACACTTTGTTGGATTGTGCATTGTTTTTAATGTATCCACTGAAAGCCTCCTTTTTTCCAATAGCAGTATCTTGAAGGAGTCTTCAGCAACCACAGGGAAGAAGAAACCCGAAAGGAAAGCCCGTCACCTCCTCGCAGACCTCCCTCTTCCTCCAGAGCTCCCTGGTTCGCCCCACAGCCCGCCTGATGACAAAAAGACGCCCACCCCGCGGAAGAGACCAAAGTATGTAGTCAAACAGCCCCTCCTGAGACATCTACTCAGGTTAGCAACATTAAACCTCATCTGTGGTTGCATTGCAGAATTTGTGGCCCACGCTTCGGAGAGATCAAAGAGACGGAGATAGACTGGGGAAAGCGGTGCGTTGACAAGTTTGAGATCATTGGGATCACTGGAGAAGGTACTTATGGACAGGTGTACAAAGCCAAGGACAAAGACACTGGTAAGATGTTCTCAAACGATTATATATACCATGACGATAGAATTGAAGTTTGTGCTCAAGTGCCTTAATTTCAATGCTAATGCATCCTGAGGCCATTAATCACTTAATGTAGCTCATCCATCTTTCTGGTGTTGCTTATTCAGCGGAGTTGGTGGCCCTAAAGAAGGTCCGTTTGGACAACGAGAAAGAGGGCTTCCCCATCACAGCCATCAGGGAGATCAAGATCTTGCGGCAGCTCAACCACAAGAGCATCATCAACATGAAGGAGATCGTCACTGACAAAGAGGACGCTTTGGACTTCAAGAACGACAAAGGTATCGCATGGAAATAACCCTCCCTTTGGTTTCTCCTCGCTGTGTCGGTGTGATAATTGTGTTTTCATCTCACAGGGGCGTTTTACCTGGTGTTTGAGTACATGGACCACGATCTGATGGGCCTGCTGGAGTCGGGCCTTGTGCACTTCAACGAGAGCCACATCAAGTCTTTCATGAGGCAGCTGCTGGAAGGACTGGACTACTGCCACAAGAAGAACTTCCTACACAGGGACATCAAGTGCTCCAACATCCTGCTCAATAACAAGTCAGTGCAAATGAGATTAAATAGTTTCATATTCGGTTTGTTTTCGGGGGCTGGAGGGAAGAAAATCGGCTTGAATGGTAATGAAATTAACATTATGACAGGGGTAGATATGCTGCTTGTTCTAGTTTTATTAGGATGACAGAATAAGGGACGTATTCACTTTCACAGACAGACTTTGCAGATTTCGCCGATCGTTGTATTGTTACAGTGTCTGTGGTTTATGTAAATGGACAGTGTGTTCTCTCTCTGCTAGCTGCACCCAGATATGCCCGTTTATTTGTCAGGGAAATTATGCCAAAACATGCGATCCAGATCAGTGTCTTTTGTGAAAACTACAGGTCGTACTTCCACATTTTTCCATCCCCACTCGTGGACTTTCATTTCAAGCCCAGTGCATTATGGGCATTGAAGTTTTCTTACCTTTTTGCTAAAAGGGAGCACAACAGCTCTTTTGCTCCTTTTTTTTTAAATTTTTTTATTTATTTTTTTTGTAGTCACGTAGCACCAATGTAAAAATTTGATTTTGTATTTCTACTCGGGCTGGGCGATATGGTAAAAAATGCAGTTTTTATACTTCGTTTGACCGATTGCAATTTTATTTTAATGTTTAAGTTGAAAAAACACATTCGCTTGATAAATATCTTTGCAGAAACTTTATATAGGTAAGAAATTGTACATTCAGGAGCTGGTTTTCAACCCCTGCCCCGTGAATTTTAGAAATGCTCGACATGAATTATATAAATAATTTTAATAGCAAGTCCATTCAAAACCTGAGGGTCTACCATGTGCGTACTAAAGCGATAACGTCAGACAATCCTTTTGGGTGGGAATTAATTTAAACACAGATATCGGATACCGGTCGTGTCTAAAGTGAATGTAAATAGACGGGCCAATTTTTTTCCTTTTCACGCTTCCTGAAAGCTGCGATGCGGTTTGCTGAGGGAATTCAGGACATTAGTGAAATAAGCTGTATATTGCCGAAAAGCGCACAAGGTCAATTTAATTATTTGAATGATTTGAACATGAATGCAGCTTGGTTGGGTGTGTCTGTGTCGGCAGCCGGTTTAATAGAGGACTCAAGTATGTTAACGTCACTCGAGGACATATTACACCTCCATTAGATCAAATCATTGTGGACTAAACTTTCATATTACAGCAGATCTAACGTCTGATTGATGTCTGAATGTGTGCTATCCTGCAGGGGTCAGATCAAGCTGGCAGATTTCGGATTGGCTCGTCTGTATAACTCTGAAGAGAGGTACGTCTCTTGATTTGATTCACGACTTGATTCAGCAAGCAGTTATGATTTGCGTAAACCGAGCAGACTCTGACTTGTCCTGTGCGTTCATTCTCCAGTCGGCCGTACACCAATAAAGTGATCACTCTGTGGTATCGGCCGCCCGAGCTGCTGCTGGGAGAAGAGAGGTACACGCCTGCCATCGACATGTGGAGCTGCGGGTGAGGAAACACTGTGCTGTTACTAGAGAAATCCCTCCAGATTCCACCTCCTCAAGGTGTTTAAACCCTCCATGTCACACAGGTGCATTCTGGGAGAGCTTTTCACAAAGAAGCCCATCTTTCAGGCCAACCAGGAGCTGGCGCAGCTAGAGCTCATAAGGTAACCACATGTTTGTAGAGCGTTGGAGATCCAGCTTTTGCTTTCTGAGATCCAGCTGACCTATATATCCGTGTCCAATCCAGTCGTATCTGTGGCAGCCCGTGCCCCGCTGTGTGGCCAGACGTGATCAAGCTGCCCTACTTCAACACCATGAAACCAAAGAAACAGTACCGGCGGAGGTTAAGGGAAGAGTTTGCTTTGTGAGTAATCAGAAATGAATGAAACCAGTTTAGTCTGTTTTAAGGGCGTTATAGCTCATGACAACAAAGGGTTAAATGGATATACACAGGGTTCCTGCGGGTTTTAAAAAGTCTTGACTCGCCCTTCCACAATTAAAGCCAAAAAAAGGTCTTAAATCAGAGCAGAAAGTCTTAAGTCATGGCATTAGATGTCGCATGCACTGCAGAAACATGAACATCTGCCTCAGTATTTTGTTTTCTGATTCAAAAATTATAAACATCCTTAAATTAAGATACATTTACTTCTGAGTCTTGTTTTCTGAGAAACTGAACAAAAATGAAGTTAGTTTTGCTTAAAACGGGAATAAATACAGTGGGGGAAAAAGTATTTAGTCAGCCACCAATTGTGCAAGTTCTCCCACTTAAAAAGATGAGAGAGGATTTTTTAAGTAAATAAAAAACGCTTTAAAACAGTAATAAAATAAACCTAAACGTGAGTTGTTTTATTTTTTTTAGGAAATTTTTTTTTTCTTGAAAATTACGCAATTGTGCCTTTATTTCACTCATAACTTTGAATAATCAGTGTAAATTTAATTCCAGCGATTTAATGTATGCTTAATTTTTTTCTCAGATTACAGTTTTTTACCTCTGATTCTCTGTCGTGATCTGATTCTGTCTCTTCTCTAGTCTGCCTCTGTGGCAGGGCTGCCATGAATTGTGGAGTAAGAAGCGGCGCCGGCAGAAGCAGATGCCGGAGGAGCTGACCGCTCCTAAAGCCCCTCGGAAGGAGCTGGGGCTCGACGACAGTCGCAGCAACACGCCGCAGGGCTCCACCCCTTTGCAACCCTATTAAAAAATAATAATTTCATGGCAGGGAGAAAAAAGTTGGAATTTGAGAAACTCGCAATTGCAAGAAAGAAGTGAATTGTGAGATAGAAAGTCGCAATTCACTTTATTATTATTATTTTTTAAGTAAATAAAAAACACTTTAAAAGAGTAATAAAATAAACCTAAACGTGAGTTGTTTTATTTTTTTTAGGAAATTTATTTTTTTCTTGAAAATTATCCAATTGTGCCTTTATTTCACTCATAACTTTGAATAATCAGTGTAAATTTAATTCCAGCGATTTAATGTATGCTTTATTTTTTTCTCAGATTACAGTTTTTTTACCTCTGATTCTCTGTCGTGATCTGATTCTGTCTCTTCTCTAGTCTGCCTCTGTGGCAGGACTGCCATGAATTGTGGAGTAAGAAGCGGCGCCGGCAGAAGCAGATGCCGGAGGAGCTGACCGCTCCTAAAGCCCCTCGGAAGGAGCTGGGTTTGGATGACAGCCGCAGCAACACGCCGCAGGGCTTCCCCGCCGCCGGAGCACACAAAGGTCCGAGTGCTGCCGCCGCTACAGCCCTGCTGGGTAAGAACATCAGCACAAACACTGTGTTGTATCCGTCACACGTTCTAGACACACACCAGTTACTCTTTTGTCTTGGGTCAGTAAAGAAACTACCCAGAACACCCTAGTTACACCTTGGCAACCACTTAGCAGCATCTTCACAATAAGCCACAACACCTTAGCTTCGTGGTGGAGGGCTTTGGGCATCAGTTTGCACTAAGACACATTGTCTCATAGCAGTCAGTAAAGGCTGGAATACACTACACCACATTTAAAATGTGACCAGATTGGACAACACTAAGGGCCAGATTTCCTAATCAGGCATATTAGCATTAGAGCACAATCCCATAAAAGGTGTTGTATCCGTCACACGTTCTAGACACACACCAGTTACTCTTTTGTCTTGGGTCAGTAAAGAAACTACCCAGAACACCCTAGTTACACCTTGGCAACCACTTAGCAGCATCTTCACAATAAGCCTCAACACCTTAGCTTCGTGGTGGAGGGCTTTGGGCATCAGTTTGCACTAAGACACATTGTCTCATAGCAGTCAGTAACAGCTCACTAAAAAGAACCAGCTTTTGAACAGGACGTCACTAGTGTAGTGTAGTCCAGCCTTAAGTCTCGTTCACCCCGGGACGAATATCGCACGCGATTATCGCCGACATTTAACGCCTCATGACTAAACAAAGGGCGCCTGTGTGAGTCAGTTTTTAACGGAGAGCGTCGAACCACTTGGTGGCGCTCAAGCACAAAATGGTCTTGCCGAGCACACATTGATACCTAACGACGAAGAGGAAGTAAGTAGACCAAGAAGATGCATCGAGGCAAGATGAACGTAGAGCTGCTGGTCTCATTGGTGTCTGAACACAAAGCGCTTTACGACAAACGCGACAGCGACTACAAAAATCTCGATAAGAGGGACTTGTTATGGAGAGGAATTGCAGATCAAAGAGGATTCGATGTGTACCGGGGTATTTCTGTTTTTCACTAAGCGCCATCTAATGTCAGGGGGTGAATTTGCACGTTCACTCGGCTCATCGCCAGTGAAAATCGCTTGGGTATGAACACAAAAGACGCAACGAAAAACGTCAGCGATAAGCGCGAGATAATCGTCCCGGTGTGTACGAGGCTTTAAGTTGGTATTGAGCTGGTAATGAGCAAACCATTCAATCTTCACTTGTCTTTTTCTTCTAGACCCCAAAGCTCCCAACTCACAACTGACTCAAGAGCAGCTGGCTGTGCTTCTGAACCTCCTGCAGTCCAAAAGCGGCCCGGTGGGATCGGCGCAGTTCGCTCAGACCGTGGGGTCCAAGATGAACCCAGAGACGCTACAGCAGCTGACGCAGGCTTTGCCCCCTGGGCCACTGGAGTCTGAAAGACCCCCAGAACCGCCTCCGCTCCCCAAAGTCTCTAAACCCCCTCAGCCACCTCCATCGGGGGCCGGAGCGCCCCGCACCCCACCCATGCCGAAACCGCCTTCGCCCCCCACCCCACAGCAGTCGGTCAAGAGCGACGGAGAGGCCTCGGCCGCAGCCACGCAGACCGCCGTCACCATGCTCCTCGCTCAGCTCCTCAAAGTCCAGCAGGGTGCAGGAGGAGAGGTCCTAGGGTTCGAGGGGCCCGAGGGCGGCGTCTCAAACGCAGCAGGTCCACCTGAGCCCAGCCCTGTATCTCCAGGTAATGCATCCTGTACCTCCTGAACATCTTGGCTGTGTGAACATATTATCCGAGTAGGGATATCACTTTGGAATTAGAAATAACTTGGATTAAAAATTGATTAAAATGGATGGATTAAAGGGACAGTTCACCCAAAACTGACAATTAGCCCATGATTTACTCACCCTCACGCCATCCTAGGTGTATATGACTTTCTTCTTTCAGACGAATACAATCAGAGTTATATTTAAAAACGTCCTGGCTCTTCCAAGCTTTATAATGGCAGTGAATGGGTGTTATTTTTCAATATTCCAAAAGAAGTCCAATAAAGAGCATCCATTCATCATTAAAAGTGTCCCACACGGCTCCGGGGGGTGAATAAAGGCCTCCTGTAGCGAATCGATGCGTTTTTTAAAGAAAAATATCCATATTTAAAACTTTATAAACTGTAATCTCTAGCTTCCGCTAACTGTCTTGTGCAGGTTCACAATAGAACGCCGGTTTTTTTTTTTACCTGTGATACTTCTTTCAGGATTCTTTGATGAATAAAAAGTTAAAAAGAACAGCATTTATTCAAAAATGGAAATCTTTTGTAGCGCTATACACTGCCATTCAAAAGTTTGGGGTCAGTATTTTTTTTTTTTTAAAGAAATGAATGCTTTTATTCAGCAAGGATGTTAAATTTATAAAAAGTGATTATAAAGACATGTATTGTTAGAAAAGATTTCTATTTTAAATAAATGCTGTTTCAAAATAATCAATAATAATCAAATAATCCTGAAAAAAGTATCACAGGTTCAAAAAAAAAAAAAAAAAAAACACAAAAACAAAATATTTCTCAGTGAATTTTATGGATATTTGCATACAGTTTTGAAGAATATTTTCCAGTGCTCCATACTGTACTGAATACATAAAATATAATATTAAATCCTTACTTATTATATGAATGATTGTCTTTCCACCTACATCACATTCTGCAGCACATACGGCTTTACGGCGGTCCTTCTTGCATTGTTCAATATAAAGCCATTTTATTCTTAACTGGATAATATTGGGTTTCTTTTCAGATTTATGGATGAGAATATTTAATATTAAAAATATGACTTGTGTCCATGTAATTTTTCCCATACTAAAAAATGCACGACGTTTGTCTTTTTTATTGCAGAACAACTACACTTGCATGTAAACATACTCAGAGAATTTACAGTGTACTCACTATTACAATCATCACAGCGACAACAGAAATAAACCAAATAAATGATCCAGGGAACAGTGATGTGCAGAGAGTTGCTCAGGGGCAGCGGCTCAAATTTAAAATGAAATGCCAATGTAAAGAAAATTATAGTTCAAAAGTTCGGATAAATTACTATTTTATATTTTTGCATGAAGTCACTTATGGCCATCAAGCCTGCATTTATTTGATCAAAATTTGTATATACTTTAAAATACATTTTATGCAATGCTGACTTATTATCAATGTTGGAAACCTGTGATACTTTTTCAGGATTCTTTGATAAATAAAAAGAAAAAAACTGAACTTTATTTATTTAAAATATAACTTTTGTAACAATATACACTAACGTTCAAAAGCTTGAGGTCAGTATTTAATTTTTTTTAAAGAAATTTGTTTTTATTCATCAAGGATTTGTTAAATTGATAGAAACAGTGATAATAAAGACTGATATTGTTAGAAAACATCTCTATTTTGAATAAACGCTGTACTTATTAACTTTTCATTTATCAATGAACCTCAAAAAGTATCACAGGTTACAAAAAAAAAAAAAAAAAAAAGCAGCAAAAACCAATATTTCCAATATTCATAATAAATCAGTTTCTGAAGAACATGTGACACTGAAGACTGGAGGAATGATGCTGAAAATACAGCTGCGCATCACAGGAATACATTACATTTAAAGTACCGGTATATCAAAATAGAAAACCATTATTTTAAATGGTTAAAATATTTCACAATATTACTGCTTTTTTCAGATTTTGATCAAATAAATGCAGCCTCGGTGAGCAGAAGAGTCTTCTTTAAAACATTAAAAATCTGACTGAATCCAAACTTTTGAACAGCAGTGTACATTAAACAGTGCTCTAAAAACACGACACTGATGTGAAAAACATTTCATCTCACGTCTCACAACCTTGTTTCTTCCCCATTCCACTGCCATTTCTCGTGTTTTTTCAAAGCATAAATGCATTCTGTGCAGACAGTTGGTCCTTGATAGAGCTGCGTCATGCGAGCGGTTAATCAGGACACACGTCGTTTGTGACCCTGGAGCACAAAACCAGTCATAATTTCAGATTTATGCATCATCTGAAAGCTGAATAAATAATCTTTCCATTGATGTGTGGTTTTTTAGGAGAGGTCAATATTTGTCTGAGATACAACTATTTGAAAATCTGGAATCTGAGGGTGCAAAAAAATCTAAATATTGAGAAAATCATCTTTAAAGTTGTTCAAATGAAGTTCTTAGCAATGCATATTACTAATCAAACATTAAGTATTGATATATTTACGGTAGGAAATTTACTAAATATCTTCATGGAACATGATCTTTACTTAATATCCTAATGATTTTTAGCATAAAAGAGAAATGTATAATTGTGACCCATACAATGTATTGTTGGCTATTGCTACAAATATCCCCCAGCGACTTAACACTGCTTTTGTGCTGCAGGGACACATTTCATTTTTTCTGTTATCATTCACGTACCGTCAACATGTCTAATTGTAATCTTTGCTCATTTTTATTCAAAACCACACACAAAAAAAAAAAAAAGAAGTGGCAAAACATTAGATTGGAATGAATCTATAAAATGAATCTCTCCTCACTTTCTGCTTCTCGCGGACTCTATAGCAGGGAAGTGTGAGATTTCAGATGCAGCCCTTGTAAGTTTCTGCTGTTGTGTGTTTTTTTTTTTGTTTGCAGCGGCTGAAGGCGGCGTCTCGTCCTCCAGGCCTCTAGAGCCTCTCTCCATTCTCCCGCCGGACCAGAGACCCCCAGAACCTCCGGAGCCGCCTCCCTGCGCAGACCTGGACTACCGGCAGGCCCCTGAGACCCAGCCAGCTCTGCCCTCCTCCGCAGCCCCAGGAGAAGCTCCCAGACCTCCGGAGCCGGACTATCTGACGGAGGGACCCGGGTACGGGCTGGACTTTAGCCGGCCTCCACCGCAGTTCAGCTACCTCGGCCACATGATGCCCCCCCACCCACCTCTCGCCTCGGAGGCCTTCACTCACAGCAGCATGGTGTTCAGCGGAGACCAGGACCATCGCTTCGAGTACAATCACAGCGGACCGCCGCCTCCTTCCGTTCCCCCTCCGGGCCAAGCCTGGACGTCTCCATCTCAACCCCTTCCGCTCGGGTACGTCCCCCACGTGAACACGGCCGCGCTTCGGGGCAGAGGACTCCCTTTTTGACGGGCTCCCGATGAACTTCCGGACGTCTCGGAAAAGGAAGAGTCTAAAAGACACGCGCAGTTGCCCTCAAACCAGCACTAAGCGTCTCCGAACTCGATGTGGGAGGTTTCTAAGGGCACTCGAGGAACGGCTTGGAGGGATGGGGATTTTTGCGTTTCCCGCTCGTACCGTTTCCCCTCCAGTTGGTTTTTGTAATCTATTCTACTGCTGTCTTTTAAATTAAAACTGTACCTTTTTTGAGTGTGCATTTACCGTGCCAGGGTAAGTGTTTTTATGACCTTAGCGTCTCCTGTAATTGAGTAGTGTTACGATGATGTTTTGCGCTACTGAATAAAGTAGGTGGAAACTAGCGACGGTGTGCTGGAGGAATGTGCTGTATCTGCACACGTACATGACCAGTGATGTAAATCGTTTTATTTTTTCTTTCCCTTTTTTTGGTCAGTTGTTTTTTTCTTTTTTTCTTCTTCCTACAAGTATGGGCTCTGTCGCTAGGGTAAGTTCACTGGAGGGGCTTGTAAAGGACTGAGACTGGTAGCACTTCTCGACTGAACTGGTGAATCTGCTGAACGAGTGAACCGATCAAAGCTGTGTTTCTCGCCGGCTCCCACCAGCTCTTGTCTAAAGCCATTGTAAAATCGAAAGAGACGTTTAACTGATTTCGAGGAGATGAGCAACAATGTCTCTTTTTTTTTTTTTGTTTTGTATGAAGATGTTTTTTCCCCATGGCAAATGTTTATTAAAGAAATGCCAATCATGTAATATGTACTGGTATTTTTAATTCTTTGTATATTTTTGCATATACTGTATCTATAATCAGATATGCGCACGCTGCCTGTCTAAGTGTGCGTGCATCAGATACACCAGCTGTCCTGTCCAGAAACCAAGCCTGAGAGAATAGCTCGTGGAAGAATAGTGTAGATGGAGTTTTCTGATGCATGTTAGTGAAATGAGCTTGAAGCAATCTCTTGCAGTGGACTACATATAAAATCCACATTAAATACTTTTATATTTAAATATAGAAAATGAGCTCACTAAATATGGAGGACCAAACCTGCAGAAATTAAAAATAAATAAATGTATAAATAAAATAAAAGGAAAATAAAGAAATAAATGACTTGATAAAAACAAATATAGTTAATTTTTTAATAAAAATGTAACCCTGAATTTGTTTATTACTTTTTCCTTTATGTATTATATTTATTTTTTATTCTTTTTAACCTTTATATTTACTTATTCTCTCAGTTTTTAATATTTATGTATTTATTTTTAAATGCATTTATTTTTTTATATTTATTTCCAGATTTATTTATTTATTTATTTGCAAAATAAATATTTAAAAAAAAGATTTATTGGTAATGAACCAATAAAAAAATCTGGCAATATATGTGGGAGTAATGCATGCATGCATGATTGAAATTAATTAAACTATTAAAATAAATAAATGAAAGAATAAACATAATTGTAAAAATACAGAAAATCGTACATATAGTTAAAAGGTAAATAATTAATTTGCATTAAATTTAATTACACTATATTTGTTTTAATGGAGTTATTTCTTTATTTTACTGTTATTACATTTATTTATTAATTGATGTATTTACTTTATAGTGCGCTGTTGTAGTGCCGCGTTCAGCCGATAGTGGGCAGCACAAACACAACTTGCTCACTTTGCGGAGCGTATACATAGCCATTTGTCCGTTCTGGTGTGTCATAATGAAAATGAAGTTGATGAGTTTTATTCCAAATACCTCGATCGAAACCGACAAGTCGTGCGATATAAATGCGATGTAGGAAGCGCGAGGTCACGTGCGCAGGTGACGCAGGAACCCGGAAGTAAGCGTTCGCGTCTTCGACAGACAGCGCTGGGTTTAGTTGTTTACTTCTCTTCATCATTCGTGTTTAAAGTGCTTGTTTAAAACCATGGCGCAGAAAATCAACGAAGCTCACGAGCACCTCGCTAAGGCTGAGAAATAGTAAGTAGAAGCCGTGAATATGTGCTGTTAGTGGTGCAGCTCAGATCATGTACACAAGGACACACTGTTGTGATGATGAGAGATGCGTGCATGTCTAGTCTTTACTCATGTTCAACTGAATAGCCACTGAAGATGAGTGGCTTTAGTTTAGCTGGTGACTGAAAGCAGCAGCTGATGGTGTGAATTCCCCTGATTAACCTCAGCTTGAAGACGAGCTTTATGAAGTGGAAGCCTGATTATGACAGTGCTGCATCAGAATACGCTAAAGCAGGTGAGTGCAGCGCTCCAGAGTCTGCTGTGAGCTCCTGAGGTTTGCTTTCTGATGATCTTCCTCTTCTTCTCCTCCAGCGGTCGCCTTCAAGAACGCCAGGCAGCTGGAGCAGGCGAGAGATGCTTATCTACAGGAGGCAGAGGCTCACACCAGCTACAGATCGTATCCTCCTGCTGCTCTTACTGAGCGATCACTGGTAGATCACTATGAGATCACTGGTAGATCACTGGTGGATCACTGAGATATCACTGGTGGATCACTGAGATATCACTGGTAGAGTACTGAGAGATCACTGGTAGATCACTGAGAGATCACTGGTAGATCACAGAGATCACTGGTAGAGTACTGAGAGATCACTGGTAGATCACTGGTAGATCACTGGTAGATCACAGAGATCACTGAGAGATCACTGAGAGATCACTGGTAGATCACTGAGAGATCACTGAGAGATCACTGGTAGATCACTGAGAGATCACTGGTAGATCACTGAGAGATCACAGGTGGATCACTGGTAGATCACTGAGAGATCACTGAGAGATCACTGGTAGATCACTGAGAGATCACTGAGAGATCACTGGTAGATCACTG